TCACTGAAGACTTCGCGCAGTCAACCCCGGAGGATACCATTATTAATGAAGAAACAGGAGATGCCTACCAAGCGCCTAGATGTATTGACATCGATCAAATCCTCTATCCCCCGGTTAAACAGAAACTAACACCTCTTAAGAAATTAAAACGGATAATGCCATCCCAAAAAAAAAATGTAAAAAACTACGCTTATAACTAATAAAAGAAAAATTTTGAAACTATTTTACCGTGTTATTATTTTATTATTATTATTTTATTTTACGATAAATGGTTTTTTATGGTTTTGATGGTTTTTCTTAGAAAGTTGTTAATGATGTTGCTTGACTGTACTGGCGGCGGTGGTGCTAGTCTAGGGTGTGCACCATATGTATTCGCGTATTCTGTGAAGGGGGACGTGGAAGAATTGGTGCTGTTTGTGCCATGTATGAATTAGTATATTGTTTTGGCGTACTTTGCACAGTAAAAGAAGGTGGATAATTGCTTATTACCGACTGTAGACTCGGTGTTCTGTGAAGGGGTGGTGCTTCTGATTCGTTTAAAGTAAATTTATTCAATTTTACATATAGTGCATATATAATCGTTGAAAAAATAATAACTGCGGCTACCGATATTGTCATCGCTGTTGTTACAGTTTTCACATGGAAATGTAATTCCTCTATTCTCTTAAGGTTATCCTGTTGTCTCCAGAGAATATCTTCGAATGCTAGCGATTAGTTTCTTCCTTCAATATTTTCTGTATAGCTTGGAGGCAGCACAAATACTTGATGTGTCTTCAGTACTTGGTTCTGTAAAATTAACCTATTAACTTGTATGGGGCAATTACTAAAAGTCAAAAAGTAATTCCCGTTCAATATTAGTCTTCTCTGATCACAAATACTGTTTAATTTGCCTTTTTGTACATTTATCAGAATTATCATGTCGCTTTCAACTTCGAAAACCTTTTCCTCTGTATTTCTTATTACTGTACGTGTTCCGGTAAAGACACAGGTAGCGTTTAGCTTTAGTTCAAAAACCGATTTGTCACACTTGTTTCCAAAACTGTAGTTATTTGGTTTTCTTTAGCATTTGGTATAGGAACTATTAACCGTTTTTCTAATGTCAATGTCTCTGCTGGTACTTTTATTATGAACACAATTGACTTTTCCTTAAACGTAGCCGTTCCTGATTTAATGTATCTCAATTTTTCAAACCCAATATCGAATCCTTGTATTTCCTCTCGGCGCAAGATGTTTGGTTGTAACATTCCTGATTTTGCTGAAGCAACATTTTCTTGTATCCGTTCAACTTGTCTTCGGAGACTCGTGAGGATAAACAACTGCGCAATTGCCATATTTTCGTCCAATAAATCTCAACGGATATCTCCTAGCGCCTTGACGTTGTTTTTATAATTTCTCGATCATTTTGTATCACTTCCTTTATTTTCTCCACAGTTTTGTTAAAGCTATTATTTATGCTGGTCTGATCATTCAGAGATTTTCAGCTGCGATTAGATCGTAATTATTCTATTTCCATCCTACCAAATGCCCTTCGACTGAGTAGACGATCTCCTGCATTAAGAAGTCCTCTTTTTAACCTATGTGGCATTAACGTATGCAGCATATTCTCGGTTAAGATGATTTTTGTTTGTGTTGTGAGTTAAATAAATAATTATTTAACTCACAACATTTGTATCAATGCTCTATAGTTCATATTTTTCACAGTTTTGTTTACTGATTGATGAAATTGTTTCAGCAGTTTCTCTATTTCGTATGGATTGACGGTATGTAAAATGTAGTTGAATTTACTTATAATTTCCGCTTTCTGTACGTTGTTTTCCGTATAACCAGTTTCTGGTTGAATTTTTTCTACGTATAACAGAAAAAAATTATTTTGTGAGTTTATTTACTCCAAATCAGTTCTTAATATTATGTCGTTTATGGAACTTAAATTATTATTATTACTTTTTTTTTTTATATATATTTTTTTTTTATATTTTAATCCTACCTTGTCTCTTGCATCAGATACCTATTCTAGTCTTTTAATTACTCTAATACATTAGAATACCTTGAAATACCTTGAAACATGTGCGTAATGCAAAAATAAACACCCAGTTATCTTTTGAAAACTTCCAATATTCGGTCCATACAATTCTGCATAACCCTTTAAGAGGAAAGATCCAATACAATGTATTAACTGTCAAGAATTTGGCCATACTCGAATCTTTTGCACCTTACCCAGCGTATGTGTAATAGGTATATGGAGATCCATACAAATCCTCCATATGCCCAAAACCCAAGAAAGATGCAAATGCAAAAAAAATGCAGCTATTATGGCAAAAACCATACAGCAAATTATAGGGGTTGTACTGTACTTTTTGCAGTTAAGCAGAGAACTCTTCCCAAAAAACTGTGCCACTCAAAAATTACTTCCAAGAACAAATAAGCAAAACCAGAAGTAATAATACCTCAAGGCAAGAGTTATGCAAATGCATTAAGAGAAAATGTTCAAGCTCAACAATTGGCAAAACCGGTAGTAGGTAATTTAGAAGAAGGTCTTAATCTTTTTATGTGTAGTATGCAAAGTATGATGCAAGAACTTATAAAAAATCAAGGTGCTCTAACGCAAGCTCTGATAATGAAAAACTGAACAACTTCATTAGAACTGGAATGCAAACGGTATAAACAACCATAAACTTAAAATTGAATATTTTTTAATTAGTAATGCAATTGATATTATGATTGTGTCTGAAACACATCTTACTCAAAAAAATGGTTTCAATATTCCAAATTACTGCTTTTATGACACCAAGCATACCAAAGGTATGGCTCGTGGAGGTACTCGTATTATAATCAAAAAAAAAACTTAAACACTATGTTTTAGAAGACTTCAGTAAAGATTATCTGTAATCAATTGCTATTCGATTTGATGAATATGGAGAAAATGTCGCAATAGCTGCAATATGTTGCCCACCCAACCACAATATAGAAGTCTAAGACTTTCAAAACTTTTTTAAAACACTCGGTTCTAAGTTTCTAGTTGCAGGCGATTTTAATACCGAGCATAAGTATTCAAGACTAATAACGCCAAGAGAACGGAAATTTCTAGCAGTTGTGAAAAGTGAAGATCTCGATGTCATTTCAACTGGACAGCCAACTTACTAGCCTTCTGATTGACAAAAAGTCCCAGTTCTTATTGACTTTGGTCTAAGCAAAAATATTGAACTATCAACAATCACCGCATTTCCATCAGTTGAACTGTCATCAGAACACTCACCAACAATAATAATAGTACAATGTCAACAGAATAGAACTATCCAAACGCAAAGTCTAACGAAATATATAAACTGATTAAAATTTCGTAAATATGTTTCTTGCCATATACCACAACATACCACAACAAGTGAATAATGAAATTGTTGCTTGTGTTAACCAATTTTCTAAAGTAATCTCAACGGGTACTTCAAACAGCCTATCCAGCATGAATCTCCTCTCAGACTAGAAAATGGTGACGGGGCACGAAGTGACTCTGAGAAAGGGGACATATTTGTAAAACACTTGAAAAATGTATTTACTCCAAATGATGCTTCAAATAACACCTCTTTACCAATAATAAACCTACATCCCTCAAGCAGTCCACTTATCTTTAAACTAGAAAATATCACTAAAATTATAAAAGATCTCAATGCGAAAAAGGCAGCAGGATCTTCTTGAAAATGATACACTTTTTTTAAAACTTCTATTTCCCAAAAAAATATTTAATCGAAGTTAAAAAATGTTTTCAGTATATATTTTAAGGTTTGAAAGTATATTTAACCTTCATGCAACATTTTTTTGGCACAGGCCAAAAATCAAATTAACAGGCAAGTTGAAAAATCAATTGTTTGAAATGGAAACAAATGAATTACAACGAATGTAAACACTTTCAAATGGCTCATTCAAAATGAGCTATTTTCGGCCAGTGTAAACGCCATATAAAGCTTACCTTTTGTTAAAAAACCACTTAAGTAAAAGAAGTTTTAGTTCAAGATATAAAGATTTTGTTTCAGAACCTTGTCCTATCAAAGCAAGAGTTCCCCAAGGAATTATACCTGCTGTATACAAGTGATATGCCAACTTTGGAAAACGCTTTAACTGTAACATTTGCTGACGATACAGCAATACTATGTGCACATAAAAACCCCGCAATTGCACAACGCATGTTTCAAAATCATGTTTACCAACTCGAGCAATGGTTGTTAGTATGGCGTATCAAAGTCAATGAATAAAAATATACCCATATCAAATTTGCTGTAAGACCAGGCAATTGTCCCAATATTACAATAAATTAACAAAAAGTACCTTCAAGCGACTATGTAAAATATTTAGGGATACATCTAGATAGACGTTTAACCTGGAAGAAGCACATGGACGCTAAAAAGACACAAATAAATATAAAACTAAGTTCATTGCATTGGCTTATGGGCACGTCATCTTAGCTACCACTTGAATACAAAATTATGCTATACAAGTCGATAATAAAACCTATATGGAGTTACGAAATTCAACTGTGGGGAACAGCGATGCCATCAAATATTGAAAAACTGCTAAGGCTGGAATCTAAAATCCTAAGAATGATAACGGGTGCACCGTGGTTTATAAAAAACGCCAACCTTCATAGAGATTTGGGCGTATCAACAGTAATAGAAGAAGCTGCTCGATGTAGCCGTCAGTACCTCTTAAAGTTAGAAGATCACCCTAACCAATCACCTTACAATCTGCTACTGAACAAAGGCCACAAACATCTAAAAAAGAAGGACACCATTAACATCTGATAATCGGTTACGTCCGAGTCTCTAAAGGCAAGATTAGCCTGGGCCAAACGGGTCCTTGATACTTCTAAGGAAGACAAAAAGGAACCTGTATCGAAGCGCCAGCGCTCATTAGATGAGTCAGCTTCGAAGCCAGATGCCAAAAAGGCAAAATTTCGTGTCAACGCCACCACTACTAAGTCCTTTAGCGACACGCTGAAGGGCTCCATCATAATGGCGGTCATTGATGAAAATCATCCAGATGGCACTATTACTCCTGAAAAATGGGATCAAATTGAGCGAAAGCTCCTTGACTTGTACGTCGAAGTTCTTAAGGAATTTCCAGGTACAATTCCCAAATGTCGCGACGGTGGATGGTTTCAGGGCCATGTGAAACTAGTCGCCTGCGTTGATCAGCGTTCTGTTGATCTTTTTCGCATTGCCATCTCCAGAATGGGTGAGGTCTGGCCAGGCGCAAAGCTTAAAGTCGTTGCCAAGGAACAAATTCCTGGCCGACCTAGGGCCCGTTCCTGGATTCCAGTCGAACCAGCGGATTCTGGAGCTAATTCGGGTGGGAAACCCTGATCTAAATACGTCCACGTGGAAGGTCACTAAGCTGGAAGAAGCCAAAGGCAAGTTTAGGTCGGTCAGTTTTGTGATCGACAAAGCCTCTCTGGCCATTTTGGCGCGATCTGGTGGCGTATTAAATTACGGTTTTTTCCCCATAACTATGAGGGTTTCGTCTGATGTACGGGAATCAGCGGCAATTTCTCAACACACTGCTGATCCCTTATCGAAAGTGGGCAATATTAAGCCTGCTTCCATGACCGAAGTGAGTCCGGTTATTCCATCTGAAGACTCACGTGTGTGCATGGACACTTCAGTGTCTGCTCCTTCGCCAGCTCACTCAATTACATCAGAGGAGAGCATAGGCATGCGCTATCTTTTCGATGAAGAGGAACTCCTAATGAGTAATGACTCTGAGGAGGATAGTGCTCTTGATGTCACTGTGGTGGAGAAAAATGGATCCACACATACTGAAGATGCGGGTACAGCAAATTAACCTGCATCATAGCAAGGCTGCATCCGCCAGTCTACTGCAACGCCTCAGCAACAACGAGGCTGATATGGTCCTGATACAAGAACCATGGATTTATAAGGATCTTGTATGCGGAATCAGGGCTAATAACTACAACCTATTTTATGCGGTAAATAAGGGTAAGCCTAGGTCCTGCATAGTGGTTAACAAAAAATTTAATGCTCTCTTACTTTCGCAATATAGTGATGGTGACCAAACCGCAGTAAGTATCGAGGGCTCCTGGGGCCAAATATGGGCAGTATCTGCATATCTGGCACATGCCCATGCCACACTACCATCGAATGTCCTGATACAGCTAACAAGCAGCGCCAGAATACTCGGGGTAGAGCTTCTAATAGTTTGCGATGCCAACGCTCATCATGAGGTTTGGGGCAGCTCAAATACTAATGAAAGAGGTGAGTTACTTTTTGATTTTGTATTTAGCAACAATCTGTTCATCTGCAATGATGGCAATATGCCAACTTTTATTACAAAAAACAGGCAGGAAGTGTTAGATGTCACTCTTACTACTGCTAGGCTTCACGAATTGGTCAAGAACTGGAAAGTGTCCACTCAACACTCGTTCTCAGACCATATGATTCTAGAATTCACCTTAACCTTGGATGAACCGAACATCTACAATCAAAAAACGTTTAGAAATGTTAAAAACATAAACTGGATGAATTATAATGCAGCTCTAAGTGAGCTGCTTTTAACCATTTTCTCCGATCCCCCTGGGAACACTTTTGATCTAGACAATCAAGTCCAAGATCTCACCTCAGTGCTCAACGAAGCTTTCAGTTATGCTTGTCCCCTCACACAACCTAGTAGGATGTAACCCACCTTGGTGGAATAAGCATTTAGGTCTTTTACGAAAGGAGTGTAGGAGACTCTTCAACAGAGCAAAATTATATAATAATGAGAGTGATTGGCTGAATTACAAAACCTCTCTGCAAGAATATAAGAAAAATTTAAGTAGAAAAATTTACACTTGGCAATCGTACTGTCAAGAAATAAATAGCAATTCTGAAACCTCTAGACTGTGTAAAATCTTATCCAAAAATCCATCTGTCCCAGAGTTACTCAAAAAATCTGACGGGACATGGTGCAATAATAGTAGCGAATCATTACAATTACTACTAGATACACACTTTCCGGGATCTTCTACTTCGGTAACTGCATCCTCAGAGTGCCTTAATCTCTCACCGGTTAACTCTATTAAGGTTAACCTGCAGATCGTTAAATGGGCTATTTTTAGTTTTAAACCCTACAAATCACCAGGACCGGATGGTATTCATCCAATTGAGCTCCAGAATTCGTGGGAGTTAATACACAACCGGCTTTTGGCAATTTTTAGACATTTTTTCTTATTTAACTATGTCCCGATTAAATGGAGGGAGGTTAGAGTAGTTTTTATACCCAAAGCAGGAAAAACCTCACACCATAACCCCAATGAACTCCGTCCTATAAGCCTCTCCTCTTTCATGTTGAAGGCTTTTGAAAGAATAATAGACGTAGAAGTAAGGCGTGCTGTAAGCCCCAACCAGTGGTCCCCCTCACAGCATGCCTACACTACGGGAAAATCTACAGAGACAGCTCTCCACTCCCTCACTTACAGAATAGAAAAATCCATAAAACTCAAAGAATTTTGTATGGTTGCTTTTGTAGATATTGAAGGGGCCTTCAATATACTCCCGAGTGCAATAGTAAGCGCGATCTCGCGTCTGGGCGTTGATGATGCGTTCATTGGCTTTATAAATCAGCTGCTAACTGGCAGACTCATTGAAGCAACGATGGGCTCTTCAACGGCACGCAGAAGGGTGAATAGAGGTACCCCCCAAGGAGGAGTACTCTCCCCTCTCCTTTGGAACAAAGTGGTGAATGAACTGCTAATAAAACTGAAGGCAGAGGGCTGCGAAACTATTGCATATGCGGATGATATTGCGATAACAGTCACCGGAAAATATACTACCACTCTTAGGGATATTCTACAAAATGGTCTTAATATCCTAAACAATTGGACACAAAAATGTGGCCTTGGGGTGAATCCCAATAAAACTGAAATCGTGGTTTTCACAAGAAAACATACGGTCCCGAATCTTTCTCCACCCTCTCTACGAGGTTCTGTGATACATGTGAAGGAGGAAGCCAAATTTTTAGGTATAGTTTTCGACAGGAAACTCACTTGGAAGAAAAACACTCTAGAGCGCGCAAGAAAAGCCAATGTTGCGCTTCTTCTATGTCAGAAAGCTATTGGTAAGAAGTGGGGTCTTCAACCTCGCATCACCCAATGGCTATATATAGCTGTTATTAGGCCCATATTGATGTATGGTATTACGGTATGGTGGACAGCTCTTGATAAATCTTCGTACTGCTCAGTACTTAACAGGATTCAGCGTAGAGCTGAACTCTGTATTAGCGGGGCGCTATGCACCACACCATCCATTGCACTAGATTTGATGCTTCAGTTACTGCCAATGGATTATTATTTATTAGTAAACAAATGGCAGCTTCATCTGCTTTAAGACTAAAAGCTACCTCACAATGGAGAGACAGTGATTATGGTCATGCCTCCATTCTAAATCTTTTCAATTTTACTCCTAAAACGTTGATTACATCACACCCACTCTCAACTTTGACAGGAAATTTGATGTCGTGTTTCCATCTAGAGAGGTATGGACGTCAGGTGGTCCCTTCTTAGATGAGGGCGTAACCATCTTCACTGACGGATCCAAAACAAGTAGTGGTGTAGGTAGTGGAGTTTTCTCAGAGGAATTGAACAAATCTTCCTTCTTTAGGCTTCCAGATCATTGTAGTGTCTTTCAGGCGGAAGTGGTCGCCATCAGGGAAGCTATAGCTTGTTTGAATGTAGATGATATATTTGGCAGAAATATATACATACTATCAGACAGTCAAGCTGCAATTAAGTCCTTGAGTTCGGTCCAATTTACATCTAGGACGGTTCTTGACTGCTACACATCTCTAAACGAAATGTCGACGCAGCTCAATATTTCTCTAATCTGGGTTCCCGGCCATAGGGATATTTTCGAAAATTGCAAAGCAGACGAGTTAGCCAGAAAGGGTGCTTCAGAACCATACTCGGAGCACCTAGACTATCTGGGCATATCGCTAACATCATGTAAATTGTTATTGAGTTCTTTCTGCACTAATACTTTTAATAAAAGATGGGAAGACTCAACGATATGTAGACATCTGTATGCAATCTGGCCACTTTCCGATAAAAGGAAATCGAAAACTCTCATTGAGATGTCCCGCAAGGATATTGGTCTTCTGGTAGGGTTGACTACAGGGCACTGTAAGCTAGGGAACCATGCTAGAAGACTAGGTCTTCCTTTCAACCAAATCTGTCGTAGCTGTGGGGAGGACGATGAGAGCGCATCTCATCTGTTGTGTTTTTGTCCAGCTCATGCACGTCGGCGATTTAGTACTCTAGGGGCCCCCTTCCTTGAGGACCTGGACCAGTTACAGGATCGGGCTTTAAATAGCATTTTAGGCTTCGCAAAAGGTTCTAGGTGGTTTTAAACCCTGAGGTTTTTATTATTTATATACGGCATCACAATGGGCCAATAGGCCTAAGTGGATCCACTAGGGATCACCGGTATAACCTAACATCTGATAACTTTCTAAATTTTTATTTGTTTTAAAATATTATAAATTTTATTTAATTGAATTGAATGTGATTTTTTGAATTGATTTTAATTTTAAATTAGTTTTAGTTTTTAATTTTAATTATAATTTCAATTTTAATTTTAATTTTCAATCTTATTTTATTATAAATAATTTAATGTAAAATAAAATTTAAAATAAATTTAGTTTTAAGATTGGAGTTTCGTTTTTAGAAAAATTCAATAAATAATTTATAAATTGAAAAAAACAGGTTTGTCTAACGCAACTACCAATACCAAACAGCTACCACCAATAGCAGCCACCACAATCACTTTACATCAAATATCAACAACACGATACGACTTGTAACTATAGTCGAAATAATAAAATTAATCAAAAACAATAAAACTAATAAGCGCCTGGTTATAATTTAGTAAGAACTAAAATTCTTAAGAAACTACCAATAAATGCTAACAAATTCATTAAAAATATTTTTAACTCTGCAATAAGATTGAAATATATTCCTAAAGTATGTAAAGTCGCTTTCATAACCGCTATACCTAAACCTGAGAAAAATGCTACTCAATAGACTTCTTGTAGAACCACTAGTTTATTGTCTAAACTTTCCAAGGTTTTTTAAAATGTTATCTACGCTAGACTGGAACCAATACTAAAAGTAATCCAAATCACACCAAACCATCAGTTTGGATTTCGGCGTAAGCATTCAGCAATATTGAAAATCAAAGAGTGGTGAACAAAACTCTAACAGACTTAGACGAAGGTCGCTTTTGTGTTGGTGTGTTTCTCGATGTTGAAAAGGCCTTCGATAAAGTATGGCACAAGAGACAAGTAAGGACACAAAAAATGTTATCTCATGACT